GCTAGGTGCAAAATATTAAATAACCGATTATCTCATTCCCAGCACTTGCAAATTGTTAGAAAGTACACAACAAATATATATTAAATGAATGTATGTGGGCATAACAATTCATCGATTCATTTGGCATTCGATGTGTTTGGCCCCGTATTGGCGATTGCAATTTGCACGATTGCCAAAAATTTATATTCTGCTTCCATTTTGGCGACAACACATTATGTCATTGCCTTGAGGTGATGCCTACCAAAATAGCCAAAATAATAATAATGTTCGAACCAAAAGGCACTTAAAGCCAGCGAAAGGTGAAAGAGAGCAAAAGAATCTAGGCCATAGTCTACTTTCGAGCGATGATGTCAGCAGGATGGGATGATGGCCGGCGCTGAAGAAAAAGATGCTACTAGCGGATTGGCGGATGGGAGATGGGAACGTGGGCTGTCTGGGTCAAGTTCGGTTGACATTTACATTCGCTTTCGCCCGCTATGCTCTGCTCTGATTCAACAAAGTTCAATGCTTTGCCAAGAGAAAATCAAATATTTTACATGTTATTTGTGTGTTGAATGGGAGGAACCACAACTGATGGCTGTCAACTTAAAAAACAATTCTAGAATGAATAGATGAATCAGCTACACTCGGAAAAAAAAAGACTAAAGAAGAGGTGAACTAATGAAACAGAAAAATTAAGAATTATATTTTACTCTTAGCCATGATCTTGAGATTCTAAATAACTTATCCCTAAATAAAAAGAATACTCCATTTCAAAAACTCACCTTGCAACTGCAATATCGTCATCTGATATTCGGCAAGCTTCTCGTCGATGTAGTCCTGCGATTGATTCGCTATAATTTCGGCTGTAGACGGACCGAACTCCTCTTCATCATCGTAAATCACATAGGATTTAGGTTGCGGAGGCTCCAGCGGTACGCCCACAAAATCGATCTGATCCTGGGCCAGTCCGTGTCCTCCGTGTTGTCTCGGTTGCGGTGGTATCACCGGCGCTCCCTGCTGTTGGTAATATTGTGGCGGCGGTGCCTGTTGTGGATGGTACAGGGGTGTCTGTCGATTGCTGTAGTTAAAGTCCGAGCTGGGTGTTTGGCACACAATGGGCGATGGTGTTGGCGACAGCTGAAACGAGCTGGTCGGCTGGGCTCCATAAGAGTTCTGATGCTGCAGTGGCGCCGGACGGAAGGGACGCGGTGCCGGCGATGCTCCTGCTCCACCATAGTAACCACTTGGCGGTGGCTGTTGCTGCTGGAAAGGAGCCGGCGATTGATTGCCACCCGGCCACTGAGGTCGTGGATGCGGTATATTGGTGCTGCCACGCTGGCCCCTCACTTGGTTGAGGGGAGCCGGTGACATTGCATGCCCAAAGGGTCGAGGTCCCGAGATTATTGGCGGCGGACTCGGTGCCGTCGTCCAGGGCGAAGGTGGACGATAGAGAAAGGTAGACGGCGACGGAGAAGCGGGATTCTGAGCACGTGGATTCCAACCACGTGGCCCATTCCCATACGGCGGCGGTTGCTGCCCGGACATCTTAACGGCAAACGGAGATCAGACGATCGAAATTTTTGATGATTCTTGCTTGGTTTTATTTCGAATTTATATTGGATTCACAAAGACTTTTGGACGGGGCTATGGGTATCTAATTTAACATATTACACTGGCGAGAAAAAAATATATAAAAATATTGGATTAACACTCCAACTTGTATTGTTTAAAAGTTTAATTCTTAATTTATTTTGTTCCTCGGTTATAATCCTAATAAATGCTTTTGAAATACCAAAGTCATGACACGACATAAAAAACTGTGCAAAAATCATAAATCATAATTTGTTCATTAGGCAGAGACAATCACCTGAAGCGAACAGAACCATCCAAACCCAATTATGTCAAGTGGACAAAATAGCCTAAGAAATAGGCAAAGAGAAACATAAATAAATCATGACCTATTCTCGAAAATGGTTAGCTCACTAATTTCGCCAGAGAACTACGCACATGTATACTGCTGCCTGCATATAGCTGAGAGATATGTAGATCCTAACGGAAGTGATATAAACATTTATACAATCTTTAAAAATGGCGCTGACGTTGGCCGAGCGGTTTTCTTAGTTTCCAAAAGAGTGTTTGGCGCGCCACAAACATTTATTTCAGTTAGTTGTCACATATATTAGTGAAAATATGTATGTGCCAGATAATTTACAATGCTTGAAAATTAACATTATGCTAAAGATTGAAAGGAAAAATCGAGTGAGCAGCACTCGGATTAGCTGCTGTCAAAATTGTTTGAAGGCCTCCAAAAAAGTCGATGATATATTCTTGGCAGACTGAGAAAAAGAGGCCTTGAAACCAAGCAAATTGATAATGTTGGATGAGGCGAGAAAGTGAAATTAGCCAAGTTTTTAGCGGAGAAAAATTCAAATAATTGTTTATCAAGTGAATTGTTCGTTTAAATTAAAATAGAACAAATAAACAGAGCTGAGAGAGAGAGGAAAACAAACCATCAACTTGATGGAAAGCTTAAAAAATAAGCAAATATCTTTACTTTTCAAATAAAAACTACAGTTAACGAGTTATTGCCTTCAAGTGAATCTATGAAAGCAAACAAATTGTTTTTTTAATTGGCAAATATTTCGTCTATATATAATATTTATTTCCCCTAGATATTGCTCATATCCTGCCAGCACTGTCATCATTTATTTTCGTAATTTTCCAGAATTTTTGCACAGTTTTGCAGCCAAGAAATTGTATGTATATTCGTCATCTGCTTTCAATATTTCAATTCCTTTATGGATATTCCAAAATTGCACAGTGTAGGCGGCAGGCGGCAACGCGGTCTCTGTGTGGATCAGTCGGTCTACCATCGGGCACCACTTAAAAAAGCACACGTCCCGCAACGCACCACCGCAACGACGACGACGACGCCGATGGGAAAGAAAACTCATGCAGACTTTTCACTTTGCGGCGGCGGCAGCGACGGTCGGTTGTTGGTTGCTTTCGAATTATTCAAAAATAGAAATGAACTCAGTTCGTTAAACTTTCGGTCGGAAGAAACCATGCCGAGAGCAGCACCGTTCCGAGTGCAGCCTCCTCCTAGCATGCTTCACTTTATTCTGGGACCACTTTTAATTGCCATCCTTTAGCTCTTTTGATATCCATTCGATTATTTTGGAGAACATTCCATTTTCTTTTTTATTTCAATTTCTTTTTTCTAGCACCGGAAAACGTGGAAAACCACACATTTTCTTCCAAGAGCACTTCACACTGTCGATTATGTAACCCGTTGGAAAATTAAGCATTTATCCGAGCATTTTCAATGGGCTTTTCACACACAAAGCTCGCCAATTAACTTGTAACCATTACACACCGTGAATTTGCTTTGATTTTACGCCAGAATTCTTTGCGCGAACAATTCCAATTCAATTTCTATATAGGCGTATATATAGAAGCGTGTATATATAGATATATGTGAGTGTGGATGGCAGGAAAGAAGACTTTTCAATGAAGAACTTTAGATGTTGTAGAGAGGAAGAACCGAGAACAACACTCGACGAGCACGAAACACTAACTGAAACGGCTCCCCAAGCGCCAGGAGGCACAATGCCGATCTTTTGGGGAAATTTTCGAAAACATTTTCGAATGGGAGAAAATACATGGGGTTCGGGGAGTGCACACACGAAGATCGGTGGACTCGGCCGGCTTTTCTTCGGGCACATGGCCAATGGGAAAATTATTCTCTTTCCTTCGTTTTTGTTTACATCTGTCATTCTAAACAGACGGCAAGTGGTAGCAGAACGTGCGAATAAAATAAGGCAAAAACAACACAATGAAATAGCCAAACAAAATCAGCAAATAAAGGCGTGAATTTTTTAGAGCATAAAAAATGGCTGACTTACCATTCATGTGACGTCACCTGAGGAGCGGCTGGAGTCCCTTCCACACAATCTAATATTTTCTCCCAAAAAAGACGATTCTACAACTGAAAACCAATAAAACTTGGAACAACTAGTTAATCTATCACATCCGCACTTACCTTTATATGTTATAAACATTAAAAATACAACAATTTGTAGTTGTAAAAATTGCAATGAAGAAGCAGACTTTGTCAACTTAAATCGCAGAAATTAACAGAAAAATGCGGCGTATTCCAAATGTTCTTGTTACCACCTTAACTACACACCTGCCACTTCATATTTAATCACATTTTCGAGCTTTTAAAAAGGTGAAGTTTGCACATTTTAAGGACTCGCGAAACTTTTGCAAAAACGACGCCATTAAAATGATCGCGGCCAGTGTGACCAAGAAGGTAAAAAGAAAATATCGATAACACATCGGAGAAGAGTTAATATAAGAACCACACTAGTCAAAATTAATAAATTTATATAGAAGGAAAGCGATATATATAAAGTTTGTGTGAAAAATATATATATTGATACATATTGATCTTATCAGAGACCAGTAAAACAGAGTGATGAGTTTGGAAAATAAAAAACTTGCAAGAACACACACAAAAAATATATTGTAATTATGTATATATATTTTTAAAATTATATTCTGGGGATTCCCAATACGACTGAATTTCTGAAAATATTGCAACATTCAAATACAAATACGATATTTGTATGTTTTCTGAAAATAACTATCTAATGAGTGAAAAGCCAGTGTGTTTAAATAAATCGTTTAAATTAAAGCATTTTATTGTTAAATACATCGATACATACATCTCCGATATTTTCAGTAATTTACTCATTCAGTCGTATGGGGAATCCCCTGATGATTTTATTTTTTGTAGAAATTAAAGCTTGGAAATAAAAAGTATAGTCACAAATTAACCGAAGGGAAATATAAAAATACTTGGATCTGTTGGAAAGACATTAAATATTTATTGATTTTTTTTTAATTTAATAATATTTGAAGATTTTAAATAATTTTTCCAACGATCTGGCGCCTATAATAACAAAGACTGCCCGCGTGCTGTTAAGCGCACTGTTAGGTAGCATCTGGACTGTTAAGCCAGCTGACTGGCACAGGGTGACTCTTGTCAAAATACGTTTCGGTGAACAAATTTCTTTGGTAAAAAATGGCCAGCAAGCAATTGGTAAACAATTTGGCCAAGCTTGGCCGCTCGCGCCAGCACTGGATGTCGCCCCTGGCCGCCGCCCGCAATGCCAGCTCCCGCAGCGACGTCGAGAAGGTCACACACACCGGCCAGGTGAGCAACAAAACAGAGTCCCCCTTCAAACCATCCTGCGATTACGCAAACATTGTTTGGAATATGTATGCAAATTATTTAAACTATATTGATTTCTAGGTCTTTGACAAGGACGACTACCGCAATGTGCGATTCACGAACGCCAAGCGGTATGTGAACGAGAACTGGGGCATCAAGCTGATCGAGGAGGTGCCGCCCAAGGAGTGCACAGAGCGTGTGGTGTTCTGCGACGGAGGCGATGGCCCCCTGGGACATCCCAAGGTGTACATCAACCTGGTGAGTTTAGCTAACTGTTCTGCTGCGTGTTGATACTCTTTAATTAAAGTTTGTAATTATAGGACAAGCCTGGTAATCACATCTGCGGCTACTGCGGTCTCCGCTTCGTGAAGAAGGAGGGCCATCATTGAGCCAAGTAGCTTGTAAAGCACCTTGAAAACCTGTCTATCCTGTTGCTCTAGTTTAAATCTAACTAAACTGAATAAAATTATACCACAAAATGGAGGAGATTTGTGTAATTGGAACGTTTTTAGCAAAGAAATTGTGGCCCTGAAAGCAGTTATAGTAAATTATAGATAATGTCTTGCTGCTTATGAAGAAAATTGGGCCTGATTTCTAAAGATAACTAAGAGAGTACCGAAAGTATAAATACATGTGGCGAAACGGCTAAAGTTAGCTTCCGTTCAACTAGCCATAACTTTGTACATTTTGCTATGATCGATGTGAAACGACAAAATATTCTTTACACATTGATCATATATAATAAAAAATAAAATTAAATACCTTACTCCCCCCGTAATAACCCAAAAAACGCAACTTGATTGCACAACACTTTATTTTTGTATGATTCTTGAATGTCTTCTAATGCGTGTATGCATTGTGTGTCCTATTTGAAAGTTAAATCTGATTCAAACCAACTTAAATGATAAAGATTACATTAAACAAAATAGTTTAGAACAAATAAACTGAATTGAAATTCAAAATACTGTGAGTTGAACTCGACTTTTGCCAGATCAAATCACCACGCGGGTGGTTAAGTATATATATAAATACATATAAAGTATATATAGTGTATAATTAACAAAACTAACTCAATTGTGGACAGTTTATAAACTGGGTTTTTGTTGCCTGGTAAGCGGTAATATATATTGTATAGTGGTTCCTTTTTTTTCGCTGCTAAATCACTACGCGGGCACTTTAGATGCTGAAGATCGCAGCATTGAGACACAGATAGTACCACGAATGAATCAATACAATAAATACAATAATTTCCGCCATTGATGTTTCCGTTTCATTTCTTTCGTTTTGGCCTGAACGGCTCTCAAACTGAAAATTCCATACGTTCACGCACAGCTCAACAAAGAGCCATGGCCGCTCCGATTCCTTCTCCATCTCCAGCATGCGGGAGTTCGAGCTTGGCCTGCAGAGAGAGCCATGGATGTGGGAACTGAAAGTGGGGGCGCCGCCGCCGCCGCCTGGGTGGTGGTGCGCCTGCCTATCTCACAATTAATATGTGCCCAGTGAGCAGGATGCTCGCTGGACAATAAAATCATGGTCAATAATCGTCGTCGTCATCTGTTGTCTCAAGTGCGTTTCATCTAAAACACCAAACACTAAGGAGAATGTAAACTAAAATGTAGTAGGTTCTAATTTGGATGTTGTGTGGATGCGGGACTATGTTGCCGACGAATCGCCTCAGCTTATCCTCGTACTGTTGTTGTTGTTTCTGTTGCTGCAGCAGAGATCGCTTGTCTTGATTGGGGCAATAGTTGTTCACCACTGGTCACCAGAGGTTCCGTGGCATGGCGTAACCTTCTTTTGTCACAAATATATTGCGATCGCCATCGCGCTGCAAGGCCACCTCCTCCTTCTGATGACTCCTCTGAGCCTCGCCGGGTGAGTTCCCCCCATCGTGGGTAACAATGGTTTCCTTGCGCCCGTCAATTACCCGGGTAACCGTGGTGGTCTTATGACCGGACGAGTCCTGGGTAACCTTGGTGGTCTCGTAGCTGCCATCCGGCTTGCGCACGGTCTTCGACATGACGCTCTGGCTAAACATCTTGGGACCCTGTAAACATTATTTATTATTTATTTATTCAGCAGGTGAAATTTAAGTGCCTCCTCACCTGATAGTTGCCATCGAATACCCCACCAAACGGAGTCATTCCACTGCGCGGCAACATCGGTGTCATAGGCGTCATTATGTCCGGCTTGTTGTTCATCGGCGGACGGGAAGGACGAGCACACGACTTGTTCTCCCCATTCGGTGCAATGGTGCCATGAATACGACCCATGATAATCTCCTCATCCGTTAGCTTAGCCCGCTGGCAGCTCTTGCGAAGAACAGACTGATTCGAGGGCAAGATGTTGGTTGTGCCTAGGTCGCCTGGCTCTACTTTCTCCTCCGGATTCAACCGCTGGATGAGGGAGTGCAGCTGGTCGGCATAGATCCTGCCAAAATCAAGATGTAAGTATAACCTTCGATGGATAGGAAAAGGAATTTGGTGATCTTACTCCCCATCCAGATCGGTATCTAGAGACATGTCCTTTTGCTGCTCAAACTGCTTTAGTATCTTGCTCTCGAAGCCCGGCTTCAGGAAGTCCTCCTTCAAGTCCCGCTCGAAGCCCTCTGAAAAGATTAAAGCCTATTTAAAGGAAAACTTGACCAAGTTTGAAGCTCAACTCACCATCATTATCGTTAAGGGACTCCAGAAGCCGCTGCAGCTGCCGCTCAAAGTGGCGCTGCATCTCCAGCGGACTGGTGAAGACCTGAAAGGCGAACTTGCGATCGTCGTCGAACAGCTCGTCATCGGTTTCCGCCTCCTCAAACCACTGCGGCTTCCGAAACTCATCCTTATTCGAGGCGGACACAGATGAGCTGAGGAGAAACAGGGAGATATGATGAGAGGCAATTTCCACCCTTTGGGCTCAATACGCAGCCTCCGCTCCCGCACACACACACACACAAAATGAAACACACACACATTCTTAGGCAGGCGCTTTTCCGCGTGCGTGTGTGTATCCTGGTAAAAATGTATCTATCATGGCAGGTGCCTGGTTATCGATCCGTCGGTGGAAAAACGCCGCAGCACCGACACTGCCACTTCCTTGCCCGAATTTCCACACTATTCCGTCCCGGCAGTCTTGCATAACCCACGCCAGGGTCCCAATATACTCACTCCGGCTCCTTCTCCGCCTCCGACTTGAACATTTTCTTCAATATATCCATTATAGTCGCCGATGGGCTCGCCTGATAGCAAAAGCTTGATGGAGCAAAAAACTGAAGTGGCAAAGTGGTTAAAGAAAACTAAAAGAACCAAAACGACGCTAATTGTTCACTGTTTTGTGCCCGGCTTCTTATATTCCGCACAATTATTATTGTTTATCCGTGAGTGGTATTCTAACGCTCGAAATTTTAACACCCGAACCAGAATTTGCCTGAAAATCTGACAACAGCTGATGATTTGTCGTGCCTAGAGCAGCGTTGCCAATTTAGCTTTTTGGCCGCTAGATATGGCGGGGTTAATTGTAAGCTAGCGACTAGCGGGTATAATAGCTTTTTTAAGCACAATTGACCTGTTTCTCTATTCCCCTGATAACTGTATGGCTGAATTACTGAAATTAAATATTTTAAATGTTTTATTTTTAGCTGTAACCTAAATTTTATGCCGGTTTCAAGCTTTTTTTGACGTGAAAAGTTGGCAGCACTGCTGCTAGAGATGTGCGCGGGGGCGTGCTTGAGCGTGAAGTGGAATCAGCTGTTTTTAGTTGGCAGCACTGCCAATAGCAAAATATCGATATCTGGGCACACGTTGGCAGCCCCAAAAAGTCACAAGACCCAAGTCAGCTGAATTTCGGTGAATCGCAGTAGTGTGAAAAACACTCGGTAAATTTGATAGATTTTCATAAATTCTGTTCTTGAATTTGTGTGTGCGAGCGCCCATCCGTTTCTGCGTAGCAACCGCCGTCGTAAGAAAGCCAGCAAAATGACTACCGCCCTGTATTTGCCCGAGGAAAACATCGGTGAGTTTTGTCCCCGTGATTGCGAAAAATCGAAGTGAGTGTGTATGGGTGTGTGGGGGGCGAGCTGCCTGCTGTCCAGCGGAGCACCCACCGCCCCGTTACATGGCTCGCGCTGTGCTAATCACCTGATTTTCCACGATCCATAGACATGATTGCGGCCACTTCGGTGCTGCAGCAGCAGGCCGCCGACATCCGCACCAGGACCATCAACTGGGCCTCATACATGCAGTCGCAGATGATCAGCGAGGAGGACTACAAGGCAATCAGTGCGCTGGACAAGTCGCGTGCCAGTTACTTGGCCCAGAACTCCAGCCAGGTGGTCAAGACGCTGCTGAATCTGGTCTCGCACCTGTCGAAGGACTCCACCATCCAGTACATACTCGTGCTGTTGGATGATCTGCTGCAGGAGGATCGCTCACGTGTGGATTTGTTCCATGAGACGGCCGGCAAGCTGAAGCAGTGCATCTGGGGACCGTTCCTGAACCTGCTCAACCGTCAGGATGGCTTCATCGTGAACATGTCGTCGCGCATTCTGGCCAAGTTTGCCTGCTGGGGCCATGAGACGATGCCGAAGTCCGATCTGAACTTCTATCTGCAGTTCCTGAAGGATCAGCTGGCCACCAATGTGAGTTTGAAATAAGTGTCTATCAAGGATTTGCTAGTCCGAAAGCATGTTTGTGTTTTAATAATCTCAAAAGAACTGTGAGATGAGCATGAGGAGGCATGTTCTAGAAGCTGTAGATAGTAACTTGCCAAGTACTTTTTGCACGCGCTCAATATCGATATTATCGGTAATTGAAAAATTAGTTTTCACTTGTTTTTGTTGATTTAGATGTCGATTTGTGCGATAAGAACGACACCAAAAACAATAATAAAGTGAAAAGTAAAAGTGAATTTAAGGATATTTGAAAATATCGAAATTTGCGTGAAATCCATCTTTTTTGTCTTTTGATTATATATTTAATCGAAATTTATTTTTTTTTAAACCGTATATTTTTTAGAACAATTACAAAAAAAAAAAAAAAAAAAAAAAAACAGACTAGATCTTCTATTTTAAGTACTAATTTTGTTTTTGCATTTGATTTTTTAAGTAGTTCCTCAAATAAATCATGGGTTTCCAATTAGGAAAATTATAACCGCATGTGAGAAGCTTCATAGATCAAAAATAAACCTTATAGCTTGATGAGTTACTCGATTTTTGGCTTGAAGTTGGCAACTTACCTTAACAACTAATCGACTAACTGTTTTCTGTACATATATCCTTCAACATAACTCTTTTTAAAAAGTTAACAAATGAATAATTAGCTTCCTGCATGCTTTTGCCAGTTTAGCTTATAAATAATTTACTTTAAGAAACTATACCAAACTCTGACATCGTATAGGTTCTAGAAACAAACGAAACTGACCTCGTTCAAGTGAAATAACACGCGAAATCTCTGCAAATGAGGAGTTCGTTACTACAACATTATTATGCCACATATCAGCACTCAGAATTTTTGTCACACATCCATATATCCGAATCGTATATTACGCTGAATATTATTTACTCAGTGACCTCACCACCCATCCCGATCGTCACGTGCCAGTCGTGTGTCATGCTAAATAGCACCAGAATATAAGTTTGTTTCTTACCACCTTGTGTTCTTGTCCATGCAAGCGTATTTATCTGTTCCGCTGCACTTGATTCCTCTGTGAACAATTTTAATTTATATGCAATTTACCATCTATGAATCGATTCAATTGAATCGATGTCTGGGAATGATCTGATCGGCCCAACCAATGAACCACGTGCCACGACCCACAACCTCTCTGTGTTCCCCCACTGGTAGGGCTTAGCCTATCTGCAAGAGATGGCCCAACTGGCCAAGCGGACACAAACGATCATTGTGCACACGCATGGACTGCATGGCAAAGACAAAGACCACCATGGCCATCAATACAGTCCCACTTTGGCCCAGTTGCAGCATCAGCACGAGCTGGCCGAGAGGGCCAACGAGCGCTATCGGGAGGTGGCCGGTGGCGACGAGCAGCAGCAGCAGAGCGGCATACCGGTATTCCAACAACAACTAAAATCTCCCCCAAATCGCAGAAATCCACTCGCCGAATATATAAAACATTCACTTACCCCCACTACCCCTACCACCAAAAAAACACACACAATAACACGAATAAACTATTAAACATTAAAGGTCACACAGAAGGGAACACGGTCGAAAGGGATACATTTCAAAATTGTATAGAGAAAAATGATTTAATTTATGTATTTTTTATTTATTTTTTATTTAGTTTTTATTAATATTATTAATATTACGAAGGTGTTATCCTAAGTTAGCCCACAAAATCCACTCTTTTCGACTGTGTTCCATGGTATCGTGTGGTATTTTTTGTAGTCTATTTCGTAATTGTTTACTAACCCGACTAATAGACGATAAGCAAGCCAGCAGGAACAGCCGCCTGCAGCGTCGCAGCCAAGTTTATGTTGTCAGGAAGTGTGGTGTAATGGTAACTCCAGGTGACGGTTAAGATTACACAAGAATCAATCAAGATTACACGAAAGTCCAAAAACCAAATGGCATAAGGTGCTCTCCGACCCATCGATCTTGCATCTTCAAATCTATTTAAATGTAATTCCTCCACTCTCTATATTTCACCATGTTTTCTACTATTTAGTGCGTAGCTTGTAGTCATTATTATCGTTGTTGTAGCTAGCAAGAAAATAGATTTCAGCCCAGAGTATCGTCATAACTAACAAGTCTAACAGCTCCAAATCGACGAAGAATTTAAAAACAAACTAATAAAGATTTCTTACCATTTGATAGAACAACGAATACATCCAGTCGGTGGCCCGTTGCCTTCAGATGATGCTGCGCGTGGACGAGTACCGATTCGCCTTTGTGGGCGTCGATGGTATCAGCACTCTGATCCGCATCCTGTCGTCGCGTGTCAACTTCCAGGTGAGTTTGAAATTGAAATGCGTAAATTGTTTGGTACAATTTAAATTCGATTTCTTATTCATAGGTGCAATACCAGCTGGTCTTCTGCCTGTGGGTGCTGACCTTCAATCCCCTGCTGGCTGCCAAGATGAACAAGTTCAGCGTCATTCCCATCCTGGCCGATATCCTCAGCGATTGTGCCAAGGAGAAGGTGACGCGCATCATCCTCGCGGTCTTCCGCAATCTGATTGAGAAACCGGAGGATTCCTCGGTGGCCAAGGACCATTGCATTGCCATGGTCCAGTGCAAGGTGTTGAAGCAGCTTTCCATCCTCGAGCAGCGTCGCTTTGATGACGAGGATATCACCGCCGATGTGGAGTACCTGAGCGAGAAGCTGCAGAATTCGGTGCAGGACCTCAGCTCCTTCGACGAGTACGCCACAGAGGTGCGCAGCGGTCGTCTGGAATGGTCGCCCGTCCATAAGTCGGCCAAGTTCTGGCGCGAGAATGCCCAGCGCCTCAATGAGAAGAACTACGAACTGCTGCGAATCCTCGTCCATCTCCTGGAGACCTCCAAGGACGCCATTATCCTCTCCGTTGCCTGCTTTGATATTGGAGAGTATGTGCGTCACTATCCCCGCGGCAAGCAGTGAGTATACAAGGAGATAATTCCCAAAAAAACAAACCTTAATTTAACTTTCTTTTATTCCTCAGTGTCCTGGAGCAGCTGGGTGGCAAGCAGATCGTGATGCAGCATTTGGGCCACGAGGATCCCAATGTGCGGTACGAGGCCCTGCTGGCTGTGCAGAAGCTGATGGTACACAACTGGTTAGTATGGTTTTTGTATAGTCCTCGCATCATCCCCCTTTCATATCCGCATGCAGGTCCAGTGATCCAACATTTCGTTCTTGTTGACATATTATTTATCAAGACCATTATCAAAATTTTGTAATGTGTATTCAATGTGCGTTTTTTACTTTTATCAGGGAATATCTGGGCAAGCAGCTGGAGAAGGAGAACGAGAACCAGAAGCAAGGTGCCGCCCCCATTGCTGGCAAGGCCTAAACAATCAGTCAGTCAGTCATCCATGCACACAGGCACAGGCACACACAGCAAATATTTTAGCCAGGCCGCCAGCCTGAGACCTTAACGAAACAATAAGAGTCGTGGAGAGGGATCAACACTACATACTATCTCCGATTCAGCCACTTCTCCACTTAACATGATGTTTGTTCTTGCTACCTTTAAGCGCATGTTTGTTCCCCCGTTTAAACTAAGTTCTTGTTAGTCCATCGTCCCCCTTACGCCCTCTGCCCCCACATAGAACGTATTGAAAGAACAATTCGATTTTTGTTGGCATTCCAAATACAGAAAAAAAAAGCTATCCTAGGCGATTGTTCCATTCAGTTCGATTGTTTATATTTTGTTGTTATTATTATTTGTGTTCTTAATTTATGTGTGCGCGCTGTACAGAGTTTGTCTTAATCAAATGATATGCACTTTTAATGTATTATAATATCGCCAGCGCACCCACAACTAAAAAAAAAAACAGAAAACAAAACTAAGCAAAACAAAAAATATATTGTATAAACCTATCAAGTATTTCTTTCATTAAAATCTAAACGAAGTAAGCATATAAATCAAATGATAAATGAAAAATATGTATTGCATAATAAAGTTGTTATTAAAAGTGTACGATAAAGGTTTGCGAGTGTAAAAGAAAATATACATACATAAATTAGCCAAAAAAGTATTCAAAAAATATATGAGTGTATCTTTTCGTCGTACTAATTATGTTTATTTTAGATTTAAGAGAGCCCGCTTCTATCTCTTTCGATAATACTATCTTATTGTGACGTAATATATATGTACGTTTCTCTTTAATGACTGTTTCCTAGTTCAGTGGCTTAGTTATCGCTCCTTATCTAGGGCACGAGACCAGGAACTACTCTTATTGGCCTCTCTTCTGACTAGTATTGTTTTAAGGCACGTGATATGATATAGCTATCGCTCTTTACTCTTTCGTTTTTCAATGAAATGTTATCAGAGAAATAATTTTGTCCTTTCCTTAATCTTTCTCTTCGCCGATAAGGGCAAAGCATGACTAAGAGACTTGGGGAGTTCCCTTAAATGAAAGCTGTTTTAAATTTTACTTAAGCGCAAAAATTTGTCTCTTTGGAAAAGGAACACTGCCGAGAAAGTTGAAAGTATGAATTTCTCTGCATACAAATTAAAATCCCATAAAATGCAAAAGCCATAATTTTTAGTCGTTTTTTTGTTTTGTTATTATTTAACTTTTTCTCTTGTGGCGGTCACAATTCTCATGTCGGGTTTAAATTAAATATTCCACTTTTTATTTAAATTAAATAATAAATTGTCCTATTTAAACTTTATAATTAACATAATTGTAGTTTTTAGGTCTGTACTTTGTTGATTTGTAGTTGTTGCTTCTGCTGCTGTTGTTGTTGTTTGCCGGATTGTGACTGAACACAATAATACGGTGCGGTGGTTGGCACCTTACTTGGTGGCGGACTTCAGGTAGGCAATCAGATCGCCACGCTCATTGGGCTTCTTCAGACCGGCGAAGATCATCTTGGTGCCGGGGATGTACTTCTTGGGGTTCTCCAGGTATTCGAACAGGGTATCCTCGTTCCAGGTGATGCCCTTGGCCTTGTTGGCGTCCGTGTACGCGAATCCGGCCGCCTGTCCGGTCTTGCGTCCGATCAAGCCATGCAGATTGGGTCCCACCTTGTGCTTGCCGCCAGCCTCCACGGTGTGGCACTGGGCGCAACGCTGCACGAACAGCTTCTTGCCCTTCTCAACATCACCAGCAGGAACGCCCATTATGGATTATGTGGTTTTTTAATGTGTTAACACGGACTCGACTGTGGAGGAGAAAAAGAATATTGCAAAATTAGTGATTGAAATTCTGGTAAATATTATATTTGCACTTTATATCAGCTAATCTTATAGCTAGTCTTAAAATCAGTCTAGTCAACATCCCATTTAATTTATGGGTTCTTTTTCCAATCACTATATACCCAAACTTCTGTTTCAAAGTCCAATTATTTTTTTTATCAATTAATTGGCAATAATTATAACTTTTTATGGAGGATTGTTATCATTCTGGTAGCCTTTCAGATAGATTGTATCTAATTTCTAGTTTTTGCACTAGGAAAAATACATTGAACTCGGAGATTAAGAAAATATTCATGATTTAAAAATTGAAGAATTAAATATACAAATTTAAATATAAAATATTAAAAAAAGTACTTCGAAGTAAGTATTTATTTCAAAAGTAATGAAAATATTCTCGGTTGGGATTTTTGGACGTGTCCCACTTTTTCTTTGTGTGTAGAAGAGGCCATGAAAAAAATATTTGTCCCCTTGCCCTGTTATGTAAACAAGTGATAAGCGCTCTGCGGAAACGGAATTATTAAAATCGTGCACACTAAGTGCATTAGTCGGCTGATTGCCTGATAAGGCGGGTTAGTTGTCGCCTACTTTTAATGCTTTTCGTTATCTAACGGTTCTGCATCCCAATCTGCCTCCCCCTTTCCCCACCTCACACACGCTTTATTCACGCGTGTGGAGGGCAACGTCATCAAACACTCACACACACGCGAAAAAGCTTCAGACAGAACAGACGCCTCTGCCTGGTCACATGTTGTTGCCCCCAACTTGCGCTCCCTCTCCCACACACATTCACACATTTTCAATGACTAAAACAACAATTGCGTCAGAACAAACCGCTCGGCAACAGGCGCAAAAACTTCGCCAGGAAACATAAAGCGGGGCAAAAACGTTAACTGAAAACCGTTTATATAATAGCCTTAGCTCCAGGGTCTATGTTACGGCCAACTTGCCTTAATTGGCGGCTAATCAGTTGCATGCAGCTATGTGAACTTGACAGCGAGAGGAAAAAAACAGTGCAAAGTGCCGTTGCAATGAGTAAGTCACCTACACGCACACAGACAGTGAGCGACGACAACAACAATGTCAACATCTGATTTGGCCTTGGGGAGAATTTTCCGTGCGTGAGAGAGGAAAACCACTTTTCCCCCTATAGAAAGTGCAATTGGAAGCAGGCCAAAGGTGTTGGTGTGTATGTGTGGGTGAGAGAGAGGAGAGAGTGGGAGAGCCATTGAGATGAGCGGAAAATGGGCCAGCATCTACTTGTCATTGTTACATAAGCAGACTCCTTAGGTAAAAATCTCTTTTTGCCACATAAAAAAAGGGGACTCCGCGGAAAACCTGCTTAGCAACCACGTGGCGGACTTTGAAACTCCACAGTTTGAGCAAAAAGAAATTCCAAGAAGTGATATTCGCCAGCGGAGCGAGCGAGATAGTCGCTGATCGCGCTCTCTTGGGGCTCATGTAATCGACGCTCTTGGGGCTTTTTTTTCAATGGCAATGTGACTTTGGCGATTCGGGCGATGCTATTTTTAATTTTAATAATTCACTGCTAACTTTTGCACTTGGAAAACCCAGCAAATAAACGGCCTAACAACCTCGCACATATACATCGCTCTCTTATATACACACACACAAGGACACGTTTATGTAACCTGAATCATCCCCCAAAAAATATTTATTTGCAAGGCAGTTTTTTTACAGCAGATCGCGCGTCTAGTAATTATGCAACGGAAATAACCCGGAAGGCTGTCACTATCTTCTAATCAATAACTATCCAAGGTGATATTTACGTCACTCGCAGTTCCGAAAAAACACCCACTACTTACATTGAACACAAACGTCTAGCGCTGCGAACTTTTTTTTTACGAATGCCCGCGAATAGTAGGGTATACGAAAATTTTTGCCCAAATCGAAATCGCGGTATTTTTATTTGATATTTTCTGATATTTTTTCTTTGGTCACTCTGAATTTGAAAGCAATTACTTGTTAACAGTCTATACCGACGATCTGGTACTTTTGGTCGCTGGGACCGAAAAGTCTGGTACTTTTGGTCGCTGGGACCGAAAAGTCTGGCAACGCTGCGGTGCCAGCTACCAGAGTTGCCAGACTTTTCGGTCCCAGCGACCAAAAGTACCAGATCGTCGACCACGCACTTTCCATGGCCCGCTAGTGGTGGCGCCACTGTGCAAACACCCGTTGAGAGGAGCTTGGCGCGCTATTTAAAATAATAAAAATAACGAATTGTATTAACTATTGAAAGTCTGCTAACATCATTCTGCTTTAAAAACATTCATTACGTGAAAATCGTTAGGTAGGTTCTCGGTCAATTAATGTTATATTTAAAGATATCTCTTAATTGAATGTTTGGTTGAATTTTTAGTTAATTCAGGGTTTCCGAAATTACAAAATGTCCATCTTGTTGTTTTCCACTCCTATTTGTTCGACTTGAGAAACGCGACCAAATCGGCACGATCCTCGGCCTTTTTGAGACCAGCAAAGACCATCTTTGTGCCGGGAATGTACTTCTTGGGGTCCTTGAGATATTCGTCTAGATTCCCTTCCGTCCAGGTGACGCCCCTCTTCATATTGGCCTCTGTGTAATTGTAGCCAGGTGATGTGCCGCTCTTGCGACCCACAATCCCACCGAGATTGGGTCCCACCTTGTGCTTGCCACCCACCTCACAGGTGTGACACTGGGCGCACTTTTGTTGAAAGATCTTCTTGCCGTTCTCCGCATTTCCTCCGCCCATTTTGAAAGTCTGAAAATATAGAGAAAGTAAAGTTTTGGAGGTACTAAAAATATAAACAAAGTTTAAAAAATAATAACCGTTGGAAAACTGTAGTGACCACCCACCTGCAAAAGAGCGAAAGCAGGGCTGCACAGAATATAAAAAAAAAATGCTCTTTACTTTTCTCTCTCTGCTGCAAAAGACTACACGGAGACAGCTGCAAGTGCATAAAAGCAAAACGGAATTGGGTCAGAAGGAGAATAGGGAAAACAAAAAATGAATCAAAATGGTATTAAATGAAAAGCAAAACATGGTGCACACAAACACACGGCCGCATCTCGAGAACTTGGCGGCACTTCTAATGGGAAAAGCAACCGAAAGGTAATTCAATTAGCAGACAGACCCACCCCCCTTGCCTCGCCCCTATTGGCCGCCGCCCCTCGCCAAGTGGCAGCTGCACATGTGCTTTGAACATTTCCTTTCAATTAAAACGCATTTTACGCACACTCCTCTTCCGTTACATCTCTCTCCTCTCTCTCCACCGATGCTGCTGTGGCAAAAACAGATGCCACCGCATAACAAAACCAGAAAAATAAAAACCGAGGGATACTAGGTTTATGCGATTTTTAATACGTGATATTAAAGGCCAAGAAAAGTTTGGAATTTTATGAAATGTAACAGGAGTGAAGAGGGATGTACGTTTACAAATAGTTGTAAAACTTTTCTAACTTAAGGTAGTATTACTAACATCTATTATGGATGGAATTGTCTATTGTTTCCAAAACTTTGATATTATTCCCCCTTTTCCAATTTTTGTTCTGGAATTTACTTTGAGTTAAAAATATACCTTATTTAAATGAATAAAAATTTGAAATACAAATAAAATTTATAATTTATTCAAAAAGCCATCCAGACCCTAAAAAAGTTGATGCCATTTGCCTGGCGACACTTAGCTGGAACCAGGTAAGGCTACTCTGCATTCACCACATTCAAACACACCTTTATAGTACATATATCCTGGTTGTGACCTAACCTAATTTGCCCTGGAACCATAATTTACCCGCAGGCAAAACTATCCAGAGGATGTTGGCTCGGGTTCCTTTGCCTGAGGAACCACTATAAATAAATGGCGCACAAAATTAAATTACGCTTGAACAGGCTCGGGCATTGCAAAAAGGATGGAGATGGAAACAATGGACTGAGAGGGGGAGAATAAAGTGGGGACCATTATTGTTTACTAGATCTATTGCTGCGGAAGTCCATAAAAAGGTGAGAGGTGGCTCTGTAATGGGTCTTCTCCCTTACAAGGGGAGGTTTTAGAGGAACGCAGAAGGGAGGCTGCGAAAAAAGGGGAAACGACAGGAACAATGCGGATATTGAATGGACTTGGAGGGGCGGATATTGCAAGGGATATTGGAAGGATATTGAAATGCAAAACTTGAATGTTATGTAGTTCTTTTAAAGGTAATATTTAAATGAATATTGAGATATAAAAAAATATTTGCAAAGTTCTTTAGAACTTGAGAACCCTTAGATATAATAAATATTTATATTAAAAAATATGTCGTTATGTTTAAATTAATAATAATATTCCCTTTAAGATTCGTTTCTGAAGAGTGCAATCTGAAGGTCTGGTTCGAATTCCAACTTTTCATTGGCTGACAAGCAAAGTTGTTCAAGTTCTTTTAATCTAAGTATTGTTCTCTGAAATTGGCACTTCACATCTCAGCAAAACTCCAATCTCCTGGGTTTCTCATTTATGCTGTAACCATGGCCAGGCTACGACACACACATTATTATTTGTTAGAAATTCCCTGAAGTCCTTCAGACTTGACCACTGGAATTCGAGTTTAGCTTCTGCAGTCGCAGGCCCCTCTCCATTTTTCTCCCACCCAAATCCTCCGGTCAGCGGGTTACCAAGAACAACGCAGTTGGCTGTTGCGCAATTTGGCATGACTTTGATGTTTCCACCAAACCCTCCCACAACGAGCACACCTCCCCATAGAGGCACCCCCACACAACCCCAAAAGCAGACATTTCTCGTTTTGCCCGCTCTGCATTGCACAAGCCCTCTATTTCTTTCCTTTCTCGGTTCCGTTCCCTCTTTTATTGGACAGTTGAAATTCTATAACTTGGACGATTTAAAAAATTTTAAAAAATATTTGTTTCAAAAGTATTATATAAAATACCACCCCGCAAGAAGAGTCGGAATTTTTCAGATTTATATCACATTTTTCAATGGAAATGCAGTAAATAATTATAAAGTTTACATATAAAAGGTATATTTTGTACTGTTTCCATTTAGTGCTTTGGTTAAATTGTATTTTTTTATATTTTTTAAACTAAAACATTTATAGAATGCTTGAAAGTCACTTTTCAATGCATATAGAAATTTCTTACATTACAGAATGGTTTTTAAACCTTACAAATCAATAAAATTATTACGATTTCATGAATGTTAATTTAAAAAAAAATATATATATATTTAAAAAATATATTTTTAGTCAGAGTTGCAAAAGCTTTACTGTCTCTGGTTTACAAAATGTTTATACTAGGCGCTTTCCACTGATGTTGCTGCTGCTGCTGCTACTGCTATTGCTGCTCCTTCTTCTTGGGCTTTCTTTTTAGGGGGTGGGCTGGGGTGGTAGGGAGATGGTTTCTTTTCTAGAACGAGGTCGCTGACTGCCCTTCAACGCCTGTGGATGCCCCGAAAGTTACATAAGCCCCGCAACAACAGCAACAACACAGCTAGTTGGCTTTGCATTTTATGCTGGCAGCGAAACGAAACAGGCGATAAAGGGGAGTGGGATGATAAGAGTGGGAGAAAGAGACTCGGAGAGAGTGGAGAGTGGAGAGAGAGCAGTAGCCCCAACATTGGTGACCTAGAGCGCCAGTGTGCGAGAGCGAGGTGCAGCGCTGAACGTGAGAGTATCTTTGGGAATGTGTGAATGAAAAATGGCTAAAAATGCCTCATTTTCAGGCTAATGTAGCTGCATCAATGAAAAGGGGCACGAATAAAGAGAGAGAGAAAGAAAAAAAGAGAAAGGTAAGGGAGAGATGGGCAGGTATTGTAAAATTTAAATACATTTTTTTAAGCAGATTGAATGGTTTTTTATATTTTGTTAATTGGTAGAAGATACTTTTTGATAAATACTATTGGCTGCTTATTTTATATTAAAATTTAAGCTAATAAAATATTTTTTTAAATTAAATTTTAAATCTACATTTTTTTCAGTTACCACCCCTTGAATAATATGGGAATTCTAAATATTTTTAAAATTTCTAGTACTTACGATAAATTCAATTTCTAAATAATTTTTAAATATTTTTTTAGTCTGCAAAGCTAAAACTGGTTAAGAATTTTAGTGATAACTTCCCTAAATCTAGTAAGTTTCATTGCTTTACTAGCAAAAAAACAACAGCAACGCAACAAGCTTACCTACTGGACGACGACGCCTCTGTTCCGCTCTCGCTCTCAGGCTGCTTGTTGCTTGGCCTCTGCCTAAGTCCCCCACTATTCCGCTGCTTTGGGGCTCTTTGGCTCTCTCTCTCGCTCTCTGGCTCGGTGGGGCTGCTGCTGCTGGTGCTCCTGCTGCTGCTGCTGGCGACTGCTGCTCCAAGTTGCGTCGTTTTTCATTCAATCAGCTGAGTTCGCGGCGTTCGGTTCTTTTGCTCCCGTTATTCTCTGCACACCTCCGCTGGTCAGACCGATCGAATACTACGTGCTTTACGTGAAAATCCGATTCGTAAAAGTTTTTGAGAACAAAATTACCGAAAACAACAAGTCTCAACGAGAACGGAAAATTTGTTGGCTGGCGTGTCACCCCTTCGAAAGGTATCTGTGTTCTGCCCCGCTGTCGAATATTGTCACTGTCAGACGCTTCAGCCAAGGCCTACTTAGCTGAGGAAAAAAATAAACTAAAAAGGAAAACCAGGAAAAACTATACAAATCCAAAAGGCAGCCGCCACACAAGGAGCTGCCAACTTGCATATTACGGTAAGTGAGCCGTTAGCTCGGTCCAGTGACCAGTGTTGTGTAACGTCCACTCTTTTTATGTTGCGAGTGTCCTTGCAAAGGCTGCACGTGTCCTTGAAATGCGTCAAGTGGTTCCTCTCACTTTCTCTCTCTGTCTCGCCGTGCTGCTCTCCCGCTCGCTCGTTCTTTTACGCATTTTACGTAATCACGCCTGAAAGTTTCTTTTTTTTTGTTTTTGCGTTTTTCTTTCCGAGCACAAAAATCTCGACTCGTTTTTCATTTGGTTTTATGACTATCCATTTCCATTTCCACCCCGAAGTTCTTAAGCATTTCCTCCATAAATACCGATATGAACGAGAGCTTTTGCGCCTCCATGTATGCGCTTCCTGCCCAACACCAGATTATCCTGTAAGGGTCTCGTTTCCTCTTTTTTTTATCGGGAAGGACATCTCCATGTGATGAGAAAGGAAATTCTATTTCTTCATTTCTTTTAAATAGAGTGTGGAAGATGGGAAATTGATTTATATTTGAGGGTGTGAGATTTTATTATTATTAATATTTTATGGGGGATCAAAGATTAAAGTTGTTTCGAGGTTCCTTGCGTTTTTAGTAATTGTATGGCAAATATTTTAAATTACCTAAATAAAATCGTTCTTTTTATATCATAGTTTAAGTATTATTGATGTTTATTATTTTTGTTAAATTAAACTTCAGGTTTGATGGATCTTTTTTGTGTTTATATAAGGGAATCCCTTGAAAAGTTTACTGATTGAACTTTAGCTTGTTGATTGAACATTATCTTCTTTTTCAAACTCAAAATTCATTTAAAGAAAAAGTTCGCCCGCAGATTTCATCAATATGAAAACCCTTCTTGGGAACTTGGAAAGTGGCTCTTATGCGAACTGAAGCGAATAATCGTTTTTTATGTTTGTTTGTTGTAAAGAATCCGTTCGTCGTTCCCTTTTCTGGTGGCTGTTGATTACTTTTGCTCCAAGTACTCGTTGAGTTCACACAAAAAGTTCTCAAAGGTTTTCCCGGGCCCCCTCTCTCCGCCCCCTTTTTGTTTCAATTATGTCACTTCATCTGTATTCCACACACCAGCTGAGCTCCTGCCCCGCCCCTTTTTGGCTTCAGTTTATTAATCATTTTTGCCTTTTGTTTATGCCTTGGCATGAGACTGGCTCTGGCACTGGCACTGGCTCTGGCACTCTATATAGGCCAACGAGCTTCATTCGGCCTTTTTTGTCGTAAGCTATAGTTCACATGCTCGGAGCCGCCACATCAATTACAGCATAAATGTTGAGGAATTGCTATAATTTAATTAATTTGCTTTGTCCTGCTGGCAGAGTCATAAAACTTAATGATTAATATTCATCAAGTGTGGTGCTCGGGCGTAATGAGCCAACTTTGATGCCACAAATCGAACACTTGGCCATTTAATTGTTCATTCATTCATTCATTCGCCCATTAAAAACATAAATGTATAGCATATAGATATGAGTACATAACTCATCTATATGGTATATAAGAGGCAGCGATTCTATGTAGGTCAGCGCTCTGCCGGTCGTTCATTTCTTATCATATCGTTAAGTGCACTTGGCGTCCCTCAACCGAAACTATTACCAACATATGGGGCCGACTCTAGCCCCGAAAAAAAAAAACAAGACTTATCAAACTTGTGTCGTTTATATTGCATTTATAACACTCGGGGAATTCGGGGAAGCCACCAAAAAGAAGAAAAAAATAATAGGAAATCAATATTTGCGCTTCAAATAAAAAAAGCAGAGACGTGGCCCAAAATTGGAGTAAAAGGGAAACTAACAACAAAGCAGATTACAAATATACATACATGTATGTACATAGAAGTGTATCTGAATTCCCTAATGGGAATTGGGGCCGGACATAAAGTGTTTGTCAGATAAGCAGAGTAAGCACTACCTAACTACTCCTCCAACTCCCCCACTAAGTGCACTCTTATTAACGAGAATTGCTGGAGTTATCGCCATCAATGGGAATAACAAATGGCCAGCCAGCCAGATGGCTGCAAATTAAAGATAAAGTTGGATAGGATGGAAATGAACAGAGAGTTTATATATACAAAATAAAAAAAGTCATATAAAAAAATGTGTTTTAAATTGTATATAGAAAGACTTTTTCTTTAAAAATATTCTTTCAAGAAAAGCGTGCCATAAACTGGGTAAAATACATTTTTTTTATTTTTGCTTTGTTATTTTTAAACAATTTTCAAAATTTAGACGTTTTGACAAATGTGCAAAGCTTTCTCTGTGAATTATTAATTGGGAAACATTTTATTTTTAGAGCTTGTTTGTGCCAAATTAATGGTGGGGTACATTTAAATGGAAATAAAATTCATTGTAGATTGTGAAAATAGTTTATATAGTTTTTATTTTGTATAAAAAAAGTAATAAATAAATCAATATAAAATAAAAATAAAATCAAAACAAATATACTTTAAGTACTGTTACTTTTTCGACTATTAAATGAAATAAATAATATATTAAATATTTAATATACCTATAATACCTCGCCCAATTGTCCGAAAATTAACCTAAAACCCCTGCCAAAATCCAAATAAACCCTGTCCTAATACAATTACATCACTTTATTGTTAACTTCCTCCAATTTTATCTAGAAAATTCAATTAGCCAAGACAGGAAATTTCCCATCACAGCCAAGTTAATACCCCGACAAAAACCGAAATGAGCCTTGTCACCCAAATCCCGATAAGAGTTCACAGTTGAGTTATGGATGGAAATGGTTCTAACCTTCTAACCAAGTAAATTTTTCCACGTTGCCTTTGACTGATTGAGATTAGCTGAAAATTAATGACAGGGCATCCGTTTTGGGGCTTACGATGAGACCCAGAAACAACTTTGCCAGCGAAAAAAAAAAACAAGAAAAATTAAAGCCGACAACGATGAATGGCATAAATTATGTACAACAATTTGCGCAGAAAGCCAAACAAGGAAAGAACATGGGCAGGACTTGCTGAAAATTCCAAAGCGTGTCAAATGGAAATTGAAAATGGCCAGCAGTGAAGGAGAGATAGCTGCTAAAACTTTGGCAGGGAAAAGCAGACAGACATTTTGACTGAAAGGGCGGAAGTGGGCGTGTGGCTCGTCATGTCAATTAGATTTAATCGAAAATCGATGCGATGATGCTTGAGCTTGCAGCAAAAAAAAAAAAAAGGTTGATCCCACATATGTACTTCTGTATATATGTATGTATATATGTACATGCAAAACGTTGGGGTCAAACCCGATGACCCTTTCTCTATCAATCTTAAACCCCCCACTACCCCTCGACTTTTGTGTGTGGTCTTTTGATATTTTCCTAGCGTCATCTTTGTTGATTTTGTGGCCCCATCGAATAAGTGTTCTGAATTATGCATTGGGCACGAATGAAAGCACTTGAAATGGAAAACGTTAAGCTGGAAAACTCAGTGGATAGTTAATTCCCTTTTGGTCAGCACAGAAAGTTTTTAAGGCCACAGGAAAAGAGAGGAAAAAGTAGTAAAGATTTTATGGCATTTGATTTAATTAGAAATTTTTCCAAGAACTTTAATTTGAAGTCAAAGTGTGGATATTTTAAAGTCTTTATTATTTAATATTTAAAATAGCTATTATAATATTAAAAAATATTTATTAATATTTTATAAATATATTTTTAATTGAAATATTGAATTAATTACACTGATTTTTCAAATGCAATTATTTTTTAAAAAAGGTTTTAATCAATTTAAAGAACTACTCATTAAGTAAATGTATATTTCTTTCAACTTCTTAAACAATTAGTATTATTTTTATTTGTTTTACTTGCGCCATTACGCCCTTGGTGCCGACTATTAATTGAAATTTAATTTGTTATTTTCTTCATTTCGATTTTATATGTTTCTTTTATTGATTTTGAAATTCATTAAATTTTCGGCTGCCTTCATTAGAAATTCATTTGGATTCATTTGGTAAATTCATTAATTTATTTAAAACCATTTAACGGGCCATAAAACGATGCCCAGAAAATTGTGCGCTTCCATTAGCAAAGCGATCTCTATACCCATCTCTATTTTCTATTTCGAGTTCAATGTGAGCCGCATTTGTTATCAGGCGAAAGCATAAAGATTTTCCCATCATTATGTAAGAGAGGCTAGACTCTGGTCTCAGCCATAAAACCAAGCTTCGAACGAACAAGTTAACGAGCTGGCCCACAATGGGACTTTGGTTTTAGCTAATGAGGCAGCAGCGTCGCTGACCGCGCAATTTCTTTTTGGCCAACTTTGAACTTCGAAGTCGTTTCTTTTGAGTTTCTTTTTCCTTGGTCGTTTTCTTTCTTCAGGTTTACTTTGGATGGCCACCTATTTCGGCTTATTGTTTATTGGCTTTTCCTTTGCCTTTGGCTTAGTGTTTTTGTTATTGTTTACGTTGGCATTTCCATGCGCAATAATGATTTAATATTTGCATTTGTATTGGCTACGTGGCGTATGCGTAATAGTCGTGCCAAAAGAACAGGAAATGGACATAGTGGCCATAGTGGAGCTCTGGGTTATATGGTATATTTTTTGGAACCCCTTGGTTCGCACTCGCCATAATGGTTTTGGTCTGTTTGGAAATGTATTTATCTGTCTGGGGAATGTTTTTGCTATGGCTAAATGGGTGAGATACAAGATACAAATATTCGAGTGCGAGATTTCGCAATGGGTCAAAATATATTCCAGACAGTAAGGTGCGTATAATAAATATATGGCTTAATGGCAGGGTTCTTGGGTTATATTTATAAAAAATAAATATTTAAGATAGGTACTATTTACGTAGAGAAATTTAAATGTTTATAGTTTACCATATCTCAGACCTCTAAGATCCCGGCAGTTGGTTGAGCTGAAGTCCATCTGCATTATTCGCTTCACCGCTTCAACTTTTCTTTGCTGCATTTTTCCATCCCAAAAACAGCTGACAACTGGTGCTTAAAATACTTGGTCTATTGCCGTTTTTGTTGTCCAACAATTT